CTTCTGTTCCATATGATAACTCTGTTTTTAATTTTAAGTGATCTAAAGTCAAAAATAAAAACCAAATATGAAATGGAGTACTGCATCCAGCTCTGGAGCCCTCAGCACAAGAAGAATGTGGACCTGTTGGAGCGCGGGTCCAGAGGAGGGCTACAAAAATGACATGGGGGCTGGAGCACCTCTCCTATGAGGACAGATTGAGAGAGTTGGGGTTGTTCAGCCTAGAGAAGAGAAGGCTGCAGGGAGACCTGATTGCAGCCTTTCAGTTCTTAAAGGGGGCTTATGAGAAAGATGGGGACAGACTTTTTAGTAAGGGGTAATGGTGTTAAACTAAAACAGGGTAGGTTTAGACTGGATACAAGATGAACATTTTGTACAATGAGGGTGGTGAAACACTGGAATGGGTTGCCCAGAGAGGTGGTGGAGGCCCCATCCCTGGAAACATTCAAGGTCAGGTTGGGTGGGGCTCTGAGCAACCTGATCGAGTTGAAGATGTCCCTGCTCACTGCACAGGGCTTGGGCTAGGTGGCCTTTAAAGGTCCCTCCCAACCCAAACCATTCTATGATTCTATGAAAAATGCTTTCATATAGTGTAATAATTCTTTTTTCCATTTAAAAAATATAAGGAATATAAAATGAAAAGGAAGTTGAGGCAATGAAGTCATACACAGTGGTTGTACCTTCGTGTAAAGGAATCTCCTAGTGTAGTTTGCTTTAAGGGCATTGATGATCCCAATATGTCTAAAATAACATTCACTTAGATTTAAATTTAATTTAAATTACAGTAAGGAGTAAGTCATTACAGCAATTTGATAAGAAACATTAGGTTAGGAAACGAATGCTCCCCCAGCCCCTCTGAATTTCTTCATCGCTCCCGTCTTTGAAAGAGCGAGGAAAGGCAAACAAATTACTGCAGATGAACTCTCTCACGTTCCCTTTTGCATTGTGGCAAATGAAGTCTGGGGGTGCCCCCTGCCTAGCACGTGTTAGCTGTGAGGAGATGAGCTGCTGTAAAGGCTTTGAAAGCATGCTTTCTGCAGGGCTAGTGCAGGTAAGGAAATTGCCTCCACTCCCTCTTGATGCACAAAAAATTGGCCAAGTTATGAAGCCAGGGCTGGGTTGTTGATATTTAAAACTAGCGACTTTGAAACAGAAACTTACTTTCCTTTTAAATGAGGAAGCTCTGATTTGGGCGGGGGGCACTGCTCAGAGTGGGTACGTTTTTCTCTCTGCATTTTTCTGTTATGGTAGTGTCTGTCTGGCTTCAGGCTGATTCAGCAAGATTTAGTATGAAAATAGTCCTATGGAAGTTAGAGTCAGCTGGGAACTGTGCGCTTGCTGAAGATAGCTGATTTCTAAATACGTTTAGAAAAGTACTTTGTGGGGGGGGGAAAAAAGAAGTATTTGGTTCTAAGGATATGGTGTGAGAGCTACTGGCACGTATGCGGGACTGTATGCTGGTTTACTGTCACCCTGAAAATTAGTGGGAGAACTTCTAGCTGCAATGTTAAAGCTTATTTAATATTTTTTAGCCATTTGGGGTATTGTAACATTGCTGGTGTTGGCCCTAATGGTTCTATTTTAGCTACACCTCTGAAGAAACTTAATTGTTCAGCTTGTGAAATATTACACAAGAGTAAAGAAAAATACGCCATCTGTGGTTTAGGGCTGATCGTCTGTTTTCAGCTTCACTTGTTTTTTGCTGAGTTGCCTGAGGCAAGACATACTCAGCCTGAATTAACTGAAGCAGACTTTGAAATCTTGAGAATTTCCATGATCGTTCTGAAAGCTTTTGTAAGCTCTTGAAAATATTTGGGAAAATAACTTGACGCTCCGTTTCTAATTAAACGCACACTCGTCAGTCTCCATGCCTAGCAGCTTGCTTGCTTTGCATAATTGCTTTAGGGATTCGTGAGTCTACCCTTGTTTGTGAAAAACAGGGTGAGAGAAAGTCTTGTTTAAAAAATACAATTTGAAAAAATAAAATAAATAAATAAACAAGACCTGGACAGCCTAAGCAAGATGGTATTTACTCTGTACCCTCCTTAAGAGACTGTACAACTTCTTGCTGTTAGCTTACCAGAGCAGAATGGGGCTGCTAGGGAAATCCTGTGTCACAGAATCACAGAACGGCAGGGGCTGGAAGGGACGTCCGGAGATCATCCAGTCCAACCCCCCTGCTAAAGCAGGGTCACCCAGAGCAGGTTGCACAGGACATCGTCCAGGCAGGTTTTGAATATCTCCAGAGAAGGAGACTGCACAACCCCCCTGGGCAGCCTGTTCCAGTGCTCTGTCACCCTCAAAGTGAGGAAGTTCTTCCTCATGTCCAACTGAAACCTCTGATGTTTCAGTTTGTGCCCATTGCCCCTTGTCCTGTCGCTGGGCACCACTGAGAAGAGTCTGGCTCCATCCTCGTGACATCCACCCTTAAGATATTTGTAAGCATTTATGAGATCCCCTCTCAGTCTTCTCTTCTTCAGGCTGAACAAGCCCAACTCTCTCAGCCTTTCCTTGTGGGAGAGATGCTCCAGTCCCCTCATCATCTTTGTTGCCCTCCTCTGGACTCTCTCTAGGAGTTCCTCATCCTTCTTGAACTGGGGAGCCCAGAACTGGACAGAGTACTCCAGTGTCGTACAGCTGCCTCATACCAGGAGAGACATCGGCGTGGGCACGCACGGTTCGTGTGCTTAGCTGGCCCAGGGAGATGGAGCTTGTGGAAATGTGCCCACTGGCAGCCTCCTCGCAAGCGCTGCACCCCACTTGCTCTGCGCGGAGGCTTCCAGCGTGTTGCCGAGTACCGCGAATAATCCGGAGGCAAGGCAGTGATTCGTTTGCTTTCCCCCTCCCGTTTGTGCTGGCCACTGGCTCAAAGCCTAAGCTACTTCACTCGAAAATGTAGTAATTGCTCCTGCACACGTTCACCGTTTCTCTCTGCGCCGCTGGATGTGAGCTGTGCTCCGATACCCTCTGCCATCACCCTGTAGGCACATGTTCCCTGTCATCTCTGAGTGCAGGAAGAAAATAAATGTATTTTCCCTGCCCAGCACATCTGTTCTCTTTTCCCTAATTGTTGTGATCAATATACCACTTACCTTGGGCTCACAGATTGTTTGTCTCCCTGTGCTCTTTGGGATTAGAGGGATGAGAGTTCCTGCAGTAAGGCTGCGCTCCCGGGGCGGCAGGCACCCTGCCCTGCCCAGCCTGCAGGGGCTCGCAAGAGGCTCTTGAAGAGACTAATCTGGAAACACTGGAATTAAAGAGGAGTCAAGATTTATTTGAATTAAATAAAGCACAGTTAAAGCCAAAAGCTGCTGAAAACTGGGGTTTCTGTATCCAGTGAGGGGGAGAAAATGACCTGGGCCTGAGAAGCGGGCTGAAAACAGCCAAGGCGGTGGCTGTCCATACGTAAGCTCCAATACTGCAGTCCTCCATGTCCCGGCTCTTCTGCAGAACCGCAGAAAAATCAACTGCAATATTTGTTACTATTTAGGCTTCCTGCACCCCTCCCTTTCTGGGATTCAGTACTGAAGCTTAGAATCATAGAAATCGTTTAGGTTGGAAAACACCTTTAAGATCATCAAGTCCAACCGTTAACCTAACTCTGCCATCCCACCACTAAACCATGGCCCTAAGCACCTCATCCTACCTAATTCCTCCAGGGATGGGGACTCGACCACTTCCCTGGGCAGCCTATTCCAGTGCCTGACAACCCCGCCTCT